AATATGAAAACATTGGTGAATGCCACAAATTCTCCTAAATCACTCGTACGCACAACTGAAGAACAAATCTGTGCGTACCAACAGTTCCTGCATGAGGCCCAATCTGAGCAATTTAAGCTCAGTTCCTGTTGACACAAGATTGATCTCATACAGAAGGTTCTGAGGGGCTCCTCAGGACTCCAGGAACACCAGCTGTCAGGATCAGAGACCCAGTTATGGTCCTGGAGCTGGGCCAGACCCCAGACCTGCAGATAGAGTTGTGTATCTGCAGGAGGTGAAGGACTCGTCCTGCTGTGTCATTTTCCACATGTCTGTTGTCAGGGGAACACGGGCAGAGAGGAGGTTCTGTTCCTGCGTCTCTACCTCCTGCAGAGCCTCCTGAGCTACATCGAAGGAAACGACTCTCAGGCCCGACTGCTGCTGGCCAAGGTAAGTCCTGCTGCTGGACCAAGACCCTCAGGTGGTCTGCCTGGTCTGAGGTTTGTTTCTGTCCAGGTGGAGTCTCTGTGTGGACGTCTCTGTCCTGACTCGGAGAAGATGGCCCAGCTGATGGATCTGGGTTTCACTGAGAGAGAAGCTCGWCTCGGACTGCGAGCCTCAGGAGGAGACCTGCAGGAGGCCGCCATCCACATCACCAACCGCCGACAGGTAAGCGTCACCTGAGGACCACGCTGAACACAGATGTCCCTCAGTGGGGTCCTCAGATGTCCTGGACTCTGCTGCTGTTCTGGGTCAGGAGCGTCAGGAGCTGATGCAGAGGGAGAGGCAGAAGAGGAGGACCAGGACGGAGTCCATCAGCACCCTGATGGAGCTGGGCTTCTCCAGGAAAGACGCAGCCCGGGCTCTTCACCACGCCGAYGGAGACGTGGACAAAGCTTACAGCGTTAGTGACCTCTGAGGACACACCCAGTGTCTCTGAATGTCTCTGATTGTCCCTGTTTGTCTTCAGATCCTGCTGGACTCGTCTCAGGCTGTTCAGACCAACACCAGCCCAGAGGGGGTTGTCAGTCCTGAAAAGGTGGATCAGGTAAACCAGACTCTGTCCTGAGTCTCTGTCCCTGTGTGTCTCTTGGCTGAGGTTGTCCCCTGTCCCCTGTCCCCTGCAGCTGCTGTATTTAGGGTTTGAGAGGGACTCTGCTGAAGCGGCCCTCAGGCTGACAGGAGGAGACGTCCAATCAGCAACTCAGCTGCTTCTGGACAACCAGGGAGTCTTGTCCCCAGATCTCCTGTCCCCGCCCTCCACCTCCTCCACATCTCCGTCCTCTGAGGAGGCCAGCACCTCCTCCACCTCCACAGGTCAGTATCAAAGTCCACCAGATTGACCAGGTGTCCATCAGCTGGTTTGGACAAGAAACAAGCTTACAGGTCTGTAGGAACCCCAGGAAAACCAGATGTCTGTAG